ATTGAACCCGCCATGGGTGGCTCGAGCTGCGAGCGAGACGGCAACATTGGCGGAACAGCAACAGCAACAACAGCTAGAGCAACAAAGCTCTGGACCGAGGGACATGGACAATAACATGTACGAAAAATTTCATTGCTGGTGTGCTTTTTGCTCTATGCCTGGCCACGATTCGCAACAACGGCACAAATCTCTGCCCAAATATCGCTGGCGGGCGTTTTGACCATGGCGCATGCAGCTGCTGCGGGCCTAAAGCCAGGCCCAGCTACGGACATATCCTCAAGAGCAGCAACAGCAACAGCAACAGCAATAGCAACAATAGCAACAAACACAACGACAGCCAACGACAAAAGCCCGAAAAAATAATTAATATGCCTCAAAAAAAAAGAAGGCAACAAAAAAGAAAACAGAAACCGGGCAGCCTTTATGACAGGCGACAAGGGCAGGGTTCGCGGCAACATTCGATCGGGATGCAGCTGCAGTTGGACGCTGGCCGCTGGCCGCCGGCAGTGGCAGCAGTTTAACTAACGGCTTCTGTGCTTGTTGTGCTGCCGTTTCCGCATCTCGGTGTCGCCTCAGAATGTGCACGATTTTACTTCAGATTCAATTTCAAGTGCAGCAGCAGCAGCAGCAACAGCAACAACAGCAGCAGCAGCAGCAACAGCAACAACAGCAGCAGCATTAACAACAGCGCCAAGCGCCGCTATTAAGTCGACAACAACAACAAGCAATATGGCCCTAACTGAGCCAACTGAGCCGCCAGCGCCGTGTGCCTGTTTGCCACTGTCTGCCGCTTCTTGCCGAGATTTCTATCTTTGATCTCTTACTCCACATGGAGCAGCGGCAACAGCAGCAGTGGCAGTGGCAGCGGCAGCTCCGCTTGCAGCTCAGGCTGTCTGCTTGTTAAATTGCTCATTTAAACCATAACGAAACGACTTGGATGGCTGGCTGCTTGGCTGGTTGGCTGGTTGGCTGGGCATGGTTTGGCCAGGCGCAGCATGTGCCGCCGGCTGCACTTCCTAGAACCGCGATGAGGCACTTGTTTGTCTGCCCCATTTGCTAGGGACACACTGGCTGCAATTTGCCCATCGGCAGTCATGCCATTGGCACTTTTAATTAGCATACAGCGGAAATTAGTTTGCCCACTTTATGTGACATCCGAAACAGCAGCAGCAGCAGCGCCAGCAGCAGCAGCAGCAATAGTTGCTTCGGCAGTGCCTACAACAGCCTCTCTCAAGCTGCTGCCTATGCTTGGACATAAATAATGATCTATGGCATTTATTGTTGACATTGCGTTAACGAGGCTACAACTGAGCAAATAACCAGCGACGCCTGACATCTACAATTATATGAGCAATGCCAATTTCTTGTTAAGGTTGACAGAAACTGTTATGAGCAAAGGCAAACGTAGCCTGATGACTGTATAGAATATGCCGCAAACAGAAAGAATTGATAATTGTGATGATTCTCCTGCAGTCATATTAGGAAAAAACTATATAAAGGGTGACCAGATAGTTACTGAAAGAGAAAACAAAAACAATTTGAAATATTATTATATTTTAATATTTTCATTCTAATGGCCAAGTTAGCATATGTTCATATTTTCTTCACTTTGTCTTTGTCTTAAAATCCACACTGTAATTTTCCCAAACCTGCATATTAAACGCATAATATGGAATAACTGTACAGTCAATTCGCATACTAAAAACTATGCCCAAGCCCAAGACTTATTAGTCAAATGGCAAATCCTAAGAACTATTTCAATAGCTAAATGTTTTGAATACCTTAAAGAGCTTCTGAAATACTCCTATATATCACACTAATTAGACTACGTACCTCAAGGTTCTGCGATACTTAATCTAACTCTTCAAGATATTGAGTAATATATCTGCTTTCTATCCTAATCAAAAATATTTGTACTATTATACTTAAGCACTTCAATTTTACATGAACTCAGCCAAAAGTACATTTAATTTATATAAGATTCATACATAAGATAAGAACAAAAGAACGGAAGAACGGAAAAGAACGGGTGGACAGAGCTTGGCAGGCTCAGCTCATTATATTTATTAAGAATATATGCATATACTCTAACACGGTCCTTTCCGCCTGTTATATATATCTACATTTCAATCACTCCACTATACCCAAAATTCTCAATTTCAATGAATTCAAAGTGACCATAACACCGTCAAAGTTTTCTCATATTAAATTATCTCGCCATAATTATGTACGAGAAATAGAACTTAGCCAATCGAAAATGAAACTCTTCAAATCGCATTTGAATCTAAATCTCCAATCACAATTGAATCTTAATTCAAATTATTATGAAGTAGCTAAATAGAGCAGAAGAAAATCTGTAATCTATAGCTAAATAATAATTTTGCATTAAAATTGAATAAAATCGAGCCGCAAACGTGGTCAAGCCGCCAAATTGATGTCACAAAACCAAATCATAAATCAGGCAAATTATAGTTATTATTGCATGCCATATGAATACATATGCAGCTATATAAAGAGATATCTGTAGACAACAGCTCGTAGAACAAGCGCCGCTGCCAAAATAAAAAATGGAAAAAACTGAAGAAAAAATCTTGCTTAGAAAAAGGTCATAAATCTTGGCTGGCAATGCTGTGGCCGGCAGCAATCGGCATCGGTACACATAGACATCGGTATAGGTATCGGCATCAGCATCAGACTCAGCCTCAGCCGCAGCCGCAGCATCGGCATCGGCATCGGCATTGGCCTAGGCATAGGCATCGTCCATGCTTGACTGGACAATCATAATAATCACAGTCACAACGGGCTGGCCACTCGCTTCAGCAGCAGCAGCAGCGGCAGCAGCGGCAGCAACAACTGACAACAGGCAACAAAAGCTACTTACTATGTCTATGTCAAGCCGATATGCGACTGATAAAAACCTGTGCAGAAAACAATCAGATATAGAAATACACTAACAGACAGCCGGCTATAAAAGCTAGCGAGCATTTGGCAGAGATGTGCCGAAAAACTTGAGTTTTTCTTAAGCAAACCGAAATATATTTCGATTTAGTAGATTACCTATAAATACTTTATAAATCTTCTATACATTACAAAAGCAGGAATTGCCTTTAATCAAACATTTAGCAGTCCTTGGCATTAGCAAGTGTATTCGAGCGTCGCTCATGCTCAGTTTCCTCTTTCCGCCTTGTTATTCATTGTTTTTGTTGTGTGTCTCTCTATATTTCTCCTGCAGCTAGCAAGAAAATTGACAATTGCGCACCTGCTTCATTTTCTTCTTCTCTTAGAAAGCGGCAACACTGCAACAGCGACTGCAACAGCAACAGCAACAGCAGCAACAATGCCGCAGCAGCAGTTGCCTGTTTAATGGCACTTAACGGTCAACATGCTCACTGTGTAGCAGTAAACTTTGTGCTTATAGCAAAAAACTTTCCAAAAAAATAAGCAAAAATAAAACTGAAAAGAAAAAGAAAAATCCTGCTCAAATATATGCCTATATTTAGCTATGCAGCTCATATTGTACTTGGACCTTCGATTTAAGGCACCTTGCATTTGCATAATAAAGCCACCAGCCAAATATTTATATATGCCTGAATTTACATATGAAACGCTGTGTGAGTAGTATTTAATAAAATGCAGCAATGCTCTAATTGTATGTTAATCGAGTGAGCAGCCAAATAAATCTGTGCTAGAGACAACGATCCAAATTGAATTATGAGCAGGATCTAAGTGCAGCAGCAGCCCTCGTGGCGGCGTCCTTTGTTGATTTATATTGAATTTTATTTTATTTATTTTGCTCTTTTTCGTTGCTTTTTCATTAAAAAGTACTTTCAGGGTTCAGGCCAATTAAGCGAGCCAAGTCAGTAGCTGCTGCTACCGATGATGATGATGATGAAGTTGTTTTGATAAAGGCCCTGCCTTAGAAAACGTGCTCAATTTATCGAAATCGGTGCAGCATGCTGCATGCTGCATGCGGCATCGTACATCGCACTCGGGAGCACTTTGCATGGCCTGCTGCCCAAGATAAACATCATAAATGCATTGAAATGTCATTGCCAATGCAGTTGGCTATCAGTGCCGTCTACGCTATGAGATGGCCAAAACCAAAGCCCAAACCGAAAATAAATAAATAGAACCAGTGAAAGAAAGAGAGCCAGTGGCGATGGCGATAATAACGAGTCGCTTAACTTGGCCAACAGGCAGGAGCAGCAAGTGCCGTTACTCCTTATGCAATTACGAGTACCTGCTATTGGCGCTGCTTAATTAGAAGCACATGGGATGAGGGCAGCTGCTCCACTCCACTCGAGCTTCAATTGTGCTCGAACTGCTGCAGTCGAAGCTGCTTAGACAGATGATTATTTATCACCGTCGTGACTCGTGCGACAATGACGAGACGGTCAAAGCACCAAATGCCAGCCACACTGGCACACACAAGCAATAAAAAATAAATTAAAGCAAACATTAAAAATAAATAAATCAAAGTATAATAAATACGAACTCAAATTTATATAAAAAAAAAATC